AGTGTGATCGTTGGGTTGATAAGTCCATTTTCGGTCTTGGAAAGGACCGCCATCCTCTTTTCTAGAGTGGTTGTACCATTGTACATCCTCACCAGTGATGGGGGAGGGACTGGTTTGTCTGGCTCCTTGCTAGCACTTAATGTTATCACTATTTTTCATTTTAGCTATTCTGATAGGTTGTGTAGTGATAACCTTGTCATTTCAACCTTGAATAGTTTTTACTCTTAAATTTTTTTTTTTCAATTATGGGGTGCCTGGGTGGCTCAGTTGGTTAAGTACCCAATTTTTTATTTCTTCTCAGGTTGTGATCTTGGTGTTGTGGGACTGAGCCCCATGTTGGGCTCATAAATTGAAGACATCATGTCGCTTTGCCCCTAAATACTTGAACATGCATTTTTAAAGAATGTCAACCTTCTCCTATATAACTATAATTATGTTACTTCACATAAGAAAAGTAATAGTAAATCTATGTAATAAACATAGGATATATAATAAATAGGTACTAAATCATCTAGTCCATATTGAAATATCCCCACTGTTTCTTTTTTTTTTTTTTTTCATTTTTTTCAAATGAATCTTTTATAGCTTTTTTACCTCCTTGAACCAGATTTCACCTCATCGTTAGGCATCTGAATGTTGTCTTGTTAGTCTGTTTAAAATAATGCCCCTGTTTTTTTTTCATGAAATTGACATTTAGTAGTTTAGTTGGTTGTCTTTTAGAATGTCCCTTGTTCTAAATTTGCCTTTTTCCTACTTCTGTCAACAGATTTTCCTCTATTCCTTCATATTAATGTGAACTGGAAGTTAGTTCTAGAGCCCTGATTAGATTCAGGTTAAATATTTTTGGCAAGAATGCTTCCTAGGTAGGGATGTGTATTTCATGTTACTTCCCATCAGGTGGGACATGGGACCCGTGATACACAGCTCTCTCCATGGGTGAAGTGTGTTTCCCCTTTGCAGTGTATATAGTTTTGTCTTTGTACTTAGGACTTTCTGTAGGATAAATTCCAAAAAAATATGTACTGGATCAGAGATTATTGACATTTATAAATCTTTTGACTTGAATATATATTTTTATCAGTGTTCATTTCGTTGAGTCAGAGCTGGCATTGAGGATGCCCGGGGGCAGCAGGTGCTTGTAATTTGGTAGGAAACTACCGTGTATCCTTTTTAAAAATTCTATTTCTTTCATTACTTTCGATTACTTTTCTCATTTGTCAGTTATTTGTAGATCTTTTATGAATTATGTCCTTTTAACTGTTTATCTATTTGATACTAGAATTACTTTTGATTTGAGATCGTGCAGTAATGACAGTTCATTCTTCTATTTTCAATTTATGTATCCTTTTCTGTATTAAAAAACTTAGACCTCCTTTCTCATCAAATATATCTCTTTTCTTTATAACTTCAGTTAGAAAGTCTCCCCTGTCAAGAGATGCATCTACTTCTCTCTTACTCCTGACTTTCAAATATACTGAACTCTTGGGGTGCCTGGGTGGCTCAGTTAAGCGTCTGCCTACGGCTCAGGCCATGATCTCAGGGTCCTGGGATCGAGTCCCTCATCTGGCTCCCTGCTCAGCAGGAATTTGGCTTCTCCCTCACCCTCTGCCCACCTCCCAACTTGTTCTCTCTCTCTTTCTCTCTCAAGTAAATAAAATATTTTTAAAAATACCTCTTTCAAAATTCATTTTCTTTATTTTAAAAAATAACATAAAAATTCAAGCAGTCCAGAAGCGTTTAAAAAAAAAAAAGATGGAGAAGGTGGGGAATTGGGCATAGGTAGTTGAAGGTACAGAGTCATATTTGAAAGATGAGGAAGTCCTGGGGATACAATGTACAGTCTGGGAACTGTAGTTAACAATACTGTGTTGTATATTTGATGGTTGCTAAGAGAGTGGGTTTTAAAAGTTCTCATCACAAAAAAACATTGTAACCATGTGTGGTGACGGATGTATTAACTAAGCCTGTTGTGATCATTTGCTGTATGTCATGTTATGCACCTTAAACTTTCAATGTCCTGTCAATTATATATCAGTAAAGCTGAGGAGAGAAGCGTGAAATTTTAAACATCTTTAGGAAGCAATGAAAAGAAAACTGGGAGATCCGCCCCTCCCCTCCTAACAACTTCACGCCCCCGGGGCAACTACTTCTGTAGTTTTTTTTTTTTTTTAAGATTTTATTTATTCATTTATTTGTCAGAAAGAGGGAGAGAGAAAGCACAAGCAGCAGAGTGGCAGGCAGAGGCAGAGAGAGAAGCAGGTTCCCCACTGAGCAAGGAGCCCGACATGGGACTCAATCCCAGGCCCCTAGGATCATGACCTGAGCCGAAGGCAGCAGCTTAACCAACTGAGTCACCCAGGCATCCCTACTTCTGTAGTTTTGTGTGAACATTTCAGTCTTTTTTCCTTTGTGTGTTTCTATAGTCATAGGGAGTTTCATGGAATCTTTTTGTTTTTACACAAACATGATCCCATTGTGAGCCTCGCCTCTTGTCTTTCACATCCAGCAATCTTTTATCAATGTCTTTTCCAAATTGGAACGTAGAAATTGATCTCATTTTTATCGGCTCCTTTTTATTCCAGAGCGTAACTATCCCGAGGTTTGACTTCCTTGTGGATGGACTTTTTTTTTTTTTTTTTTAAGATTTTATCCATTTATTTGACAGACAGAGATCACAAGTAGGCAGAGAGGCAAGGCAGAGAGAGGAGGAAGCAGGCTCCCCACGGAGCAGAGAGCCCGATGTGGGGCTCGATCCCAGGACTCTGAGACCATGACCCGAGCCAAAGGCAGAGGCTTTAACCCACAGAGCCACCCAGGCACCCCTGTGGATGGACTTTTAATGTGTTTCTTTTAGGAAGAGGGGCCATTAAAATCAGTGTAGTGAATACTCTTGTATGCGCATTTCCATGGTCATGCTGTGTTGAGAGAGAAAGTGATCTCCTCTGTCCATCTGGACTTGATTTTGATGCATGAACTCAGGTCTGTAGTTAGGGCTTTGTTTTACAAACCGCTAACAGGGAAGGCACTCCCTCCTGGGAGTATCCTTTCCCTTTTCCTTCAATGTACACGTTTCATTTAGCTCACTTGGAACTCTTGTACGTACTCGGGTTTCCTCCCGGGCTGTTTTTCAGTGCTGCTTATGGTTCAGTTTTGTGTTTAGACTGTCAGATGTGTATGCAGGTGGGTGAGCTGGGTGGGCAGCTCTCGAGTGTTTGCGGACTGGGCCGCAGCTGGAGGGTACAACCCTTTCTTCTGTCCCAGCCTGGCTGCCTAATGTGCTGTTTCTTCTTTGCCCCCAGTACCTGTTCGTGACCTTCCCGAGGATTGTCTTCATGCTGGGCTTTGTCGTCATGCTGAGCCTCCTCCTGGGGGGCTACCTGTGCTTTGCTTTGTACCTGGCTGCCACCAACCAGACCACTAACGAGTGGTACCGAGGTGACCGGGCCTGGTGTCAGCATTGCCCCCACGTGGGCCGGCCCCCTTCAGCAGAGCCCCAGGTCTACCGGAACATTCACTCCCATGGGATTTGGAGCAACCTCAGAGAGATCTTCCTACCTGCCACTGCACGTTATGAGAGAAAAAAAAACTAAGAATGGGAAGTGTTACTGCCACTTAAATATAGTATAAATTTATTTATACATATAGATACTTTCTAAGAGTTGGTGTGGTGTTTCTTGGTTTTGGCGGGGGGTCTTTTTTTCTGGTTTCTGCATGTTTATCGATGGGCTCTCAGGGGTTCAGGAAGGGAAGAGAAAACTAGTGTTTCCTGGATGCTTAATCCTTACAACTGCCGTGCTGAGTCCCGTGGTAGAAATCTTCCCTGTTCATCCTCTGTTCCCTCAGCCTGTTGGAATGGAGTTTATCTCAAGCCCTGGTGCCAAGGGCATCAAAGATGACTTCTCAAGGTTCCAGCTAACCTTGGTCTCCCACAGTAGATTGGAGGCTTCTAAAGGAGGGGCCTTGACTGTGTCCCCTGATGTGCAGGAGAGTCTCAGTGAGGTAGGGTTGTACCAGCTGCACCCTCTTTGATGCCCTTTCCAGCTCTCCCAGGGAAAGGACTTGGCTTTTCATCTCCTTAGTCATGCCCAACACCCTCACCCAAGCCCTCCTTGTGGCCAGCATGGGCCTTTTACACAGGACCCAATCTTGCACTTGTGGTCCCCCGGCTGCCCTGCCCTGGCTTCTTGTGGCCATGTTCAAGTTTTTTCTGCTCTATTTTTAAAATTCCAAACTAACACCCCAGCCCCCACGCTGCCACTGCCCCGTTAATTCAGTGTAGGGATGGATGCAGAAGAGAGAAAGTGTTGAGGATTTTGGGGAGGGGAGAGTTTTCAGGAGCAGGACACCTACGATTCCCATGGCCAGCCAGCCGCACTGGAGGGGATTGGGGAGTAGGGGGACTCGGAGGCCGGGGATTGGATGGCGTCATTTGTCACTGCAGCCCCAAGAGTTCCAGACTAGACACACCCTTTGACACGGCCCTGCACCACCACGCCTCTGTTACAGGTGGAAAAGCGCGGTGAAATCAAGCAATGGACTTAGAGCGCCACGCAAAGGAAGCCCGCGGAGCTTCACGTACGGCGCGCGGGCGGGTGGAGCGCCAAGCCCAGTGAGCCTTCAGTGGTGGATCCACGCCGCGGAGCGCGGGGCCCCAGGTCCGGGGGCGGTCGCGGGGCCCGGGGGCGGGGCCTGTGGGGCGGGGCGTGCCTCCCTCCGCGCGGGCGGGCCGTGCCGCCAGGTGGCGCCCTCTTGAGAGCCAGCCCTCGCCGCCGCCTGCGCTTGGCCCCTGCGGGCCGCCGTCGCCGCGCTCAGCATTCCGCCGCCGTTCGGCTCCGCGGCGACGGGCTCCCGCTGCCCTCGGTGGCACCGCACTCGCACAGCCGGGAGTCCGCTGGCCGGCGGCGGCGGCATCGATGGCCCCCTGAGCGGGCCGGAGCGGGAGCGGCGGGCGGACGGGCGCCGGGGTCGGCGGGCGGAGGCCGGGTCGCGGCCTCTTTGTCTCGGCGGCGGCGGCGGGCGCGCCCGCGGGGCCCGGGGCGGAAGTCCCGACGCGCTCCGGGCGCCCCGGGCCGCAGCGGCCGCACCATGAGCGACATCCGCCACTCGCTTCTGCGCCGCGACGCGCTGAGCGCCGCCAAGGAGGTGCTGTACCACCTGGACATCTACTTCAGCAGCCAGCTGCAGAGCGCGCCGCTGCCCATCGTGGACAAGGGCCCCGTGGAGCTGCTCGAGGAGTTCGTGTTCCAGGTGCCCAAGGAGCGCGGCGCGCAGCCCAAGGTGCGGCGGGCGGCCGCGAGAAGGAAACTCCCGCTTCTTTCCTGCCCCTCGCGGTGACAAGCCTTGGCCAACCACAGACCCTCTTCCCACCGGCGGCGCCGTTCTCGCCCCGGGCCGCGCTCCTTCGCAGCAGCCCCAGTCCACCTGCTCTGGCTTCCGGAGCATTGCTCGGCTGTGGGCCTGCTTGCCGGGCGTGCGACAGCCCGGTCTCGGCGGTGCTGCAGGAAGAGACGTTAAAGGCCTGTAATCGAGTCTCAGACCGCTGTAGGTCATCATCCCGAGGGCCCCAGGATGATGTCGAATTCTATACTGACATTTCCCGGGATTAACAGAGTTCTTCCCCCTGGGACCCAGGCTTTAGAGGGGTGAACAGTTCCCAGGGGGAAATAGGATATTTCCTGTTTTCTTACCGTATGGATTAGTGCACACGTTAAAGCTAAGTTTCTTACCGCTTCTCTTGGATTTGTTTTTGCAGAGGTTGAATTCACTTCAGGAGCTCCAACTTCTTGAAATCATGTGCAATTATTTCCAGGAGCAAACCAAGGACTCTGTCCGGCAGATTATTTTCTCGTCCCTTTTCAGCCCCCAAGGGAACAAGGCTGATGACAGCCGGATGAGCTTGTTGGGAAAACTGGTCTCCATGGCTGTGGCTGTGTGTCGGATCCCAGTGTTGGAGTGTGCGGCTTCCTGGCTCCAGGTACTACCCGAGAAATAGCCTTCTCCGGAGAGGCTCTGAAGAGGAGTTTAGTGCCCCTTAATTGGATTTTGGGAGAGGCAGTTTCTGTGTGTTATCTCCTTGATGTCACTGCCCTGTCTGCTAATACTCCACACCTACGGTTAGATACAGGTAGTACCCATTCCTAACAAAACTTGTTTGTAATGGTAAATGAATTTAAGAGAAAAAAAGAAAATTCTTCATCTCCAGAATAAGCAAAATATCATTTTCCTTGGTTGAAAATGATATGGTAGGATTTTGAAAACAGCTATGCATAATGTGGCTTCAAAGGTAGATTTTTTTTTTTTTTTAAGTAAGTAAATTACACAGGTCAGTAAGCACGTGAATTGTTTCGCCTTGTTGCAGGGTGACATTACAAAGATCCCAGCTCTTCTAATGGGTATGGCGCATGAGCCTTTTAGAATGTTTTTAAATATCAAAGAATATCAAATAGATTTTGTGTTAGATGGTATTTTGAAAGATTCATTTTGTTTTGCTTTTTTGTTGCTCAGTCTTTCAAAAATTGATAATCCACGTAATTATTAACTCAGAATTGAGATTAACATGATTCTCAGCTAAGCTAACAGAATTTACCATGTTCAGTTTCACAAACCTGCTTCATTCTCAAGTACTTGAAGCCTTTGGTGTTGGGTTTGTTTCTCCAGTTTATGTAGATGTTTTCCTTGAAATCTGTTTATCCTCAAAATTTGGCCAGGAGAAAATATACTGTTCTCTGTGGTACCCAGGTAAGTCTCAGTGGAATCTGTACCTTAATTGTCACCAGGCTGATTTCTGGGCCATCTGAATCGATCACGTGTGTTGTATTTAATGTCACAGTTACCTCTGTCCCTTCATCAATCACCTAGTGAAGTCAGGCTTCACATCTTCTCATTCATCACGTAATTTCTCATTTTTCTCTCCTGATGCTGTCGCGCTGGCTTTTTGGCAAAGCAAAAGCAGATGTCAGTGACAGGAAAGGGTCCTAGTGGTTTGAGTCCAGATTTGCCACACTGGGGCGAGGGACTGCAGCTTCCCGTTGGGGAGGGCGGGATGGCCGGTTTGAGGTGGTGGGGGCAGAGTTCAGCCCGAGGGAACAATCTGGCTTGCTGTCCCCTTGTGGTTCTCCCCACCCTCCACCTCCCTGTAGGCCACATCGGTGCCCTGGACCCGGAGCGTCCTGAGCAGCTGTGGAATGTGGCAGGAGCTACAGATTGGCCTCTGATGAGCGGGGGAGGAAAAAGGCAGGGGAGGGTGCTGATAGAGGATTGAAAGTATCACAGAAACCTGTAAGCGTAGGACCCGCTGCTCCAGAATCACAGGGGCAATCACAGACTCTCCATGAGCTCTTTAAAGTGGTAACAGCTGCTCATTTTTGTCTTTGGAACCTCACCTGGAGGGTCGCAAAAGTTGTCATTTCCTCACCTGAGTCACAAGTTACCTTTCCTAAGTGAACTTCAGAGCAAGTCAGCAGGCCTTTCTCATAAAGGGCAGGATGGTAAATGCTTTAAGTTCTGCGGATCATATAGTCCGTCACAAGCTGTCCTCTCTGCCAGTGCCGTGTAGGGAGCAGCCTCACACAGTCAGCAAACAGCTGAGCGGATGCATGTATCAGTAGAAGTTGCTTTGCAAAAAAACAGGTGGCAGGATGGATTGGGCCTGTGGCCTTGGGTTTGCCCGGGCCCGGCTTCCGAGTGAGCTCTGGACATCTTTGTCCCCTGTTGGGAGCGGTGCCGCCAGCCCTGGTGGTCTCCTCCACACGTACGTCTTTGTCGTCCGTGAGCTCATGATGCCTGTAGTTACGTGCACTGTGGCTTCTTTCCAGAGGACGCCTGTGGTCTACTGTGTGAGGTTAGCCAGGGCCCTTGTGGATGACTACTGCTGTCTGGTACCGGGATCCGTGCAGACGCTGAAGCAGATACTCAGTGCCAGCCCTCGCTTCTGCTGCCAGCTCATTACCTCCGTCACCGCGCTCTATGACCTGTCATCAGGTAAACTCCAAACAGGCCGCTGAGGTTGCTTGGGTGGCTGCCACTCTTCTTCCCACCAAACACCCAGGCGGAAAGCCCAGTGGACGCTCTGGCTTTTTGTTTTTTTCTCTGAAATGTGTGTTTTCTTTTAGGCTGAAAGGGAAAGGAAGGGACCGCCTGGACTTCTGGAATTTGCCAGCAGGGAGCTTTCCTTAGTGCCTCCCACTCGGCTGACTCAGGGATGGTCCGAGTGGTAGGCAGCCTGCAAATGCTGGTATCTGATGTCTGGGGAAGACGTGGCTTTCTCCCCAGACGTGATTTGCTTTTTTCCTTTCTTTCTTTCTTTGTTTTTTTTATCCCTCACTTTTTATTTTGGAAAATAGCAACACTTCAGGAAAGTGGTGAGACTATTATAAGTTGCGAGACTCTCACCTAGTTTTCAGCCCCTGTTAACACTTGCCGTGGGCTTTCTTGCCCTTCCTCTCTTCGTCTCCCCCCTCACACACACACTCCAGAATATTTGGTTTTCCTGAACTTTCGAGAGTTTGTTAGCAACGTCACATACCAAGTACTTCAGCGTGTATCTCTCCCCCGAGAACAAGAGCATTCCCTTACGTAACCCTGGTACCATTATCATGGTACCTGAGAAATTTAATAGTCTGAGAAATTAAATATCGAGGTAATTCTATTATTTCTTACATAGCCTGTCTTCAGCTTCCTTAATTGTCTCAATAATTTCTTTTAGAGCTCTTTCCCTCCCTTGCTTCGAAAGGTCAGGAGAGCTCAGAATCCTTTCAGGGATCATATATTATATAGTTGTCATGTCCCTCTGATCTCTTTAAGTCTTGAACAGATGAAGCATTTAAAAAAAAAATCTCTTAGGACATCGATGGTTTTTGAAGAGCCCGGGCCTGTTTAGATTGATCAGACTGTTTCCTTATGTAGGATTCAAGTTCAACATTTTTGGCAACAGCCCTGCCCAGGCGGTGATGTGTCCCGGGCATATAGCACCAGGAGGCACGCATGTCACTTCCATCGTGGTGATGTTTTTGAGGCTTTCTTGGGAAGATGCCAGGTGAAGTCCTCAGGGCAGCCAACAGATGGCATTTGACTTCAGCTGGGAGGGGCCCGTGTCCTCTGCCCCCTGTCCCTGTCCTGAGCATCAGAGCCCTCTGGTCCGATCACTTTATACAGGCTTTGAATAAAGAAAACCAGTACAGGTTGACCGGCTCTGTCTGAATTAGAGCAGGAGTCGCAGGCCCACGTTCACTAGGCTCTGCTGCCTACTTGCCTCCCGCAGGGGTGGGTTCCAGGGAACATGGATTGACGAGGCTTTGCGGAACAGCGCACCCTTTCACATCCGTGTGCCCGTGTGAGCCCCACGGCCCATGCGGCCCCTGGGGAAGTTTCGGGCCTCACCGCGGTGAGCACTTTTTCTGCAGAGTCGGACTCAAAGCCCGCTCTTCTGTTTCAGGTTCCTCCTCCTCTGCCCATGGCTCCTGCCGCTCTGGGGGTTGACAGCGTCTTATCCCGGTCTGATAGCGAAACCAGCCGCTGGGGGGCCCTCAGCAGCGCTTCCGTTTGTGTTCAGTCCAGCGGCTCCGGGATCATATTTGATTCTCCTTTTATTTGTACCTTTCCCCGCCGTGCTGTTCAGTTTTTTTAGTTCTTTTAGGAAAGTTTGTGTGGACAGAGTGTGAACATGGAAGTGTATGTCACAGTCACAAGTACTTTCAAACCGTTTCTGTCCCGGCAACATGCCCCTGGGCTGGGAGGCAGGTGTTGTGAGCGGTGGGTGCCCTGCTGTTAGAGTGAGCCGTTCCCTGGCGCTCTCCTGCAAAGGCTTTCTCAGAGCTGTTCCTAGCTGGGAACAGTAGCAGCCCCTCTGGTTTCCTGTAGGAAGGGGTTTCCTTAAACCCACTGTACTGCACCACGGTTTCTTTTCCAAGCCGTCAGTCATCCCAGACCAAAAAGGACCGGAATTGCCCTTAACACTGGGGACACATGAGACAGCACACAAAAGGCGGTCATGTTCAGAGCATACCGCCAGCGTTCTGGAATGGAGATGAGACGCGGTATTTTTCTCTTAAGCCCCTTTGCCCGTCTGACGTGTCGGGGACTTTCACGACCACGTCATGGAGGTGTGACCCACGTACCAAAAGCTGTGCATCTTGAACATGTCCAGCTTGGTGAGATAGGAGATGGGGAGGTCACCAGGCACCTGGTGGGGGCTCTAGAGGCGGAGCTGGATTCTGCAGTCAGGATGGTGACTGACGCTGCTCTTTGGGAGCCTCTGGTGACGGGAGAGCACTCCTGGGGACTCTGTGCCTTCAAAACCACAAGACGGAAGCAGCTCACCTCAGGAGACAGGACCTCCTCTTGCCTGAGTGGTGCAGAGACTCGGGTCACACGCTCCCTAGGCACCACACACACGCAGCTTCGGGCTCTTGGAGATGCCTCCGCTTAGATGGGGGTGGCTGGACGGGGTGGTCTGCTGGACACGCGTATGAGACTGGCATTCCTCACGCACAAACCTCTCCGGGGGGCTCGAGGGGCCAGACTTGGGCTCCCCCAACGTTTATTTTGCCAAGTGAGAACCACAGGTGACAGCGGCTACCTACCGTTGTCCTCATTTATAGCAGAAGGGCAGGGCACAGTCGAACTCCCAGTCAGGAGGTCGGCATGGTCTCAGGTGGGGAAGGGCCGTGTCTCTGGAGAAAGAGGAGCCTCTGCCCACACGTGTCTCACTCTCCCTGCACTCCTCTTTCGTGCTTGTCTCTGGCCTCAGCATCCCGGAAGGAGCCCCGTCTTCCTCAGCTCTCCGTGAGCTGGGGGCCGCACAGCCCCAGAGACAGAAGGGCAGGGACCCAGTCCCACGCTCACAGACACCTTCCGGGCATTGTGTGCCAGGCCCGGGGTGGGCAGTGCAGCTGAGCAGTCGAGAGCGAGACCCTCTGGGGCCATGTCTGGGCCCACCACACACTTTTCGTTAGTCCTGGGAGAGTGACTTAATATCACTGTGCCTCCTGCCTCTGATAACAGGCGGTTGTTGGTGGATTGAGTTGATTCATGGAAAGGATTTAGACCAGTGCTGGGCTCATAGTGAGCCCCAAATGAACGGCAACTCTTGCTTGGTAAAAAGTGCCACGTAGAGGAGGTCAGGCTCTGCTTAGACAAAGATTCCAGATCTGCGGCTGGAATGGCTCTTGGCCACCATCTGAACATCAACCACACCCTGAGCTGCTCTAGGAAGGCCACCGCAGCCGTCATTGGGCCACAGAGGCGACACCAGCAGAGGGACAGACACTACTCTGGGAAGGGCTGAGCTGTGGTGGCAGTTTGGGACATAAAGAGTGTGGGAATTTATTTAAATTGACCCAAGGGATGAACTTCAAAGCTTGGTGGAGTCCTAGAGAATTGTTTATTTAACAAATATGTTTTTGAGCCCTACTGTGGCCAGTCATGGCCCTGGGGAGAATCACCAACTAAGACGGGAGTCCCAGCCCTCGTGGAGGCGATGTTCTCGGAAAGGGGACACAAAATAGTTAAGCAGAGCACATAGTCCGAGTGTCGGGGGCTGGGTACCATGCCGTTAGGGGCCCATCTCCCCAGCCGTCACTTGGCGTCACCAGGGCTGCAAACCCATCTGACTTAAAGCGTCTTTGTTGGCAGATGACCTCATCCCACCGTTGGACTTGCTTGAAATGATTGTCGGCTGGATTTTCGAGGACCCGAGGTTGATTCTCATCACTTTTTTAAATACTCCGATTGCGGCCAATCTCCCGATAGGATTTTTAGAGCTCACCCCGCTCACGGGGTTGATCCGCTGGTGCGTGAAGGCCCCCCTGGCTTACAAAAGGAAGAAGAAGCCCTCCCTGTCGAACGGCCACGTCCCGACCAAGGTTCCGAAGGACTCAGGAGGGATGGACAGAGACTCCCACCTGTTGTACTCGAAACTCCACCTCAGTGTCCTGCAGGTCCTCATGATGCTCCCAGTGCACTTAACCGAGAAGAATCTCTACGGCCGCTTGGGGCTCATCCTGTTTGACCACATGGTCCCGCTGGTAGAGGAGATCAACAGGTTGGCAGATGAACTGAACCCCCTCAACGCCTCCCAGGAGATCGAGCTCTCGCTGGACCGACTGGCACAGGCCCTGCAGGTGGCCATGGCCTCTGGGGCGCTGCTGTGCACGAGAGGTGGGTAATTCCCTGGCCCCGGAAAGCAGGGGGTCTGGGACGAATAACTCGTCTGTTTTTGTTTTTTTTTTTTTACCACTTCTTTCCTCTTAGCACAGGGGACTGGGGTGAAGTCGCAGAGTGGACCCAGGTCGAGCGCTGGCCGTGACGTCTGTGCGTCTCCCGGCTGCTTTGCCCAGGACTGGGGACTCCTCCAGAGTGAGGATGACCCGTCACCTTCTTTCCTCGTAGAGAACTTTACCTTTTTTTTAAGATCTTATTTATTCATTTGACAGACAGAGATCACAAGTAGGCAGAGAGGCAGGCAGAGAGAGGAAGGGAAGCAGGCTCCCTGCTGAGCAGAGAGCCCGACTTGGGGCTCAATCCCAGGACCCTGAGATCATGACCTGAGCCAAAGGCAGAGGCTTTAACCCACTGAGCCACCCAGGCACCCCTAGAGAACCTTATCTTTAACTGTAGCCCGTTTTTATTGAGGCATAAGTTTCATACAGCACAGTGCCCAGGTTCAAGGACAGGAAGCATCCCCAGCACCTGTTTCTGGGTCCGTGATTCTCCTGTACTTCAGTGCTGGAAGGCTCCCGGTGTCTCATAAACACCTGTGCTGGTTTAGTGACCGTGCACTGGCAGACGTTGCCTCTGGCCCCAGGCAGCGGTCCCTGTGGTGCGGTTCCCACTGCACCTGGGGCATCTGATCCGCTCTGTGAGAGCCCTGCCTCCAGGCCCTTTCCCAGCCACCTAACAAATGACCAATAGACCTGCCCCTTTTCTTGAGTCACATATCTGTGGGGCCTAGTTGTTAAAGCAAGAATCAAAAGAAGAAAGAGGGCAGTTTCTAAGTGATGCTAGGAAGTTGTAGTTAAGACACAACTGCTCTCCAGCCAGCATCCTTGAAAAGAATTCAGTGACCATTTCCCCTTGCTCTCCAGTCTGTTCCTTATTTTGTGTCTCCTTGATTTCAGATGACCTGAGAACTTTGTGCTCCAGGCTGCCCCATAATAAGTAAGTGCTCTCGAAGGTGTTGGCCCGGGGTGGGGTGGGGCCCTTGTCCTGGCCTCCTTGGGGAGAGTTGGGCTGCAGGGTCTGAAGCTTCTGTATGTCAGGAGCCCCCTCGGGACCTGATGGGGGGTAGGATAGGATGATCCACAGGAGAGAAAGCCCAAGTGGAGAGTACATCGAAGAGGTGTGGCCATCCTGTCCGGGGGTCCAGGGAGGAAACCAGACCCAGCTCAGAGTCATTGACCGCTCGCTAAATTAGTATACATGGTTCGTGGTGACTTTGGACAGTTGTGACGCACACGGCTGGTGACAGTGTGGGTGGCGCAGCCCTGTGGAAAACACTCAGAACCACGGCCCTGGGGCACTGCATGTCATTTTAGGCTTTGTCGCTGGGTGGCAGCACTGAGTGGCTTCTGAGTGTGATTCTCACTGGTTTTCCGTGGCACTTATTGTCATCGTTTGGGGGAAGCCGTGCGAATAGTGGTAAGAGCAGGGCTGTGGGGTCACTCGGCTCCTGGGGAAAGGTCCAGGCTGGCGCCTTGCTCTCTGTGTGACCCTGGGCGGTTTCCTGGTCTTCCACTGCCTTGCTTGGTCTGTAAAATTGAGAAAATAATCGTTCCTGTCTTCTGTCCCCCTGCCATTCCTGCCTGCCGCCCCGTAGGATTTTTGTGAGGATTAGAGTGAAAACACAGAAAGCCCTCTGAACAGCGTTCTTGTGTTCTTGCTGTGTGCTTGGTGTGTGGCACGTATCCACGAAGCAGCAGCTGCTGGTCCACTTACTGTTGTCATGACGTAGGAATGTCCCTTGCTCTAATTAATTTCGCGGACTCTAAGAAGCAAAAGCTGTGTGTGTGAAAAAGTTTCAGGCAAATGCAGTATCATCAGTAGCAAAATACCAGAGGCAACCTCCCCGGTGGGAAGCATGGGGATACTTAGTAACTTAGGAGTGATACATCTGAGGGACAGAAATTATGTATGCGCTCCAGAGAGTAACTGTGGCAACTAAGTGAGGGAGAGCTTGTAGCTGAGCACACAGCTCCCTCCTGGTGTGCACAGGGACAGAAGACGGTGGAGTGAAGTTCGTAGGATGACCAACATTCTCCTCTGCAGAGGCTTGTGTTGGCCTTTATCGGCTGGGGCTCCGGGACCTGTGGTCTCGAACAGAGGGCAAGCCAGCCCGCCAGGCCCCTCTGCGGGGTGGGTGATCATAGCTGCCCAGGGCCAGGAGTCTGGGCACGGATGGCAGGCTGACCACAGGCATCACCCAGGGCCGGAGGAGTGGCTAGGAGCCGGCTCACAGGCTAACGGTGACAGTAGCCGCTGCCCGAGGACTGTGCGCTCCTATGTGGTTGGAGATCTTGGTGCCAAGGCCTTGCGGCTTTGGCAGGTGTCTGGGCCGAGGCGGAAACCAAGTGGGTAGAGTGTGTGGGTCCTGGAGGAACAGAACGGGCTGCTTGGCATATTCTGTCAGCAGAATGGACAGTTTGCCCAGAGAGCCACCTGTCCCTCAGGAGACCTCAATGTTCCTTTCATTTCCCCCTGGCATCTGAGGACATCGTTACTGAGTTGGCAATTTTCTGCTCCTCCTGCAGTAATCTCTCCTTACTGTTTCCCTTCTCTGTGCACAGCTGTTGTCTAATGTGTAGCATTTCAGGCCATTAGAGCAGTGAGAGGGTCTAAATCCTTTCTCGTCTTAGCATTGTGACCAGGGGTCCCCCATTGGAATCCCAAGGGAAACGTCTTCACAGCCTGTGCTGGGCCCCATCCTGAGTCATATGGCCCAAAACCCACCCTCCCAGGAGCAGCCTGGCAGCGACGCGGGGAAAGACAGCTCACAGAGCCACTTGGAAAACTTCTTTGACTTCTGATAGTAGTCTCTTTTCCGTGAATTGTCTTTCTGAATAGACTGGAAACTTCTTTTTTGTTGTTGTTGTTTTTTTTGTTTTTTTGTTTTAGATTTTGTTTATTTGACAGAAAGAGAGAGTGAGAGAGGGAACACAGCAGGGGGAGAGGAAGAGGGAGAAGCAGGCTCCCTGCTGAGCAGGGAGCCCAACACGGGACTCTACCCCAGGACCGGAGATCATGATCTGAGCCAAAGACAGATGCTTAATGACTGAGCCATGCAGGCACCCCTACACTGGAAACTTCTTGAAACCCCTTTTATCTCTGGCAGGGTGTGCAGATTCAACCGAGCATATGACTTAAATTTTGCTTTTGTAATGTGCCTCTTAGATTTGTTTCTGTGTTTGCTTATTTGGAGTGACTTTCTCACTGAGTTATAAAAAAAAATGTGGTAACATAAATGAAAAGGTGCTCTGGGGGCGCTTGGGTGGTTCGTTGGTTAAGCCTCTGCCTTCGGCTCAGGTCATGATCCCAGGGTCCTGGGATGGAGGCCCGCATCAGGCTCCCTGCTCAGTCGGAAGCCTGCTTCTCCCTTTCTCTCCGCTGCTGCCCCTGCTTCTGCTCTCTCTCTCTCTCTGTCAAATAAATAAATAAAATCTTTTTAAAAAAATGTGAAAGAAAAGGGGCTCCAAAGAGCCTTAGGCCACTAGAAGGCACCAACTTTCTTCGTGCCTTGGGTTTACTTCCTGAGCTCCTCCTGTGGGCTCTGAGTACCAGACTTTATCTTCAGGGGTGGGAGGGGTGAGGGTCAGTCTGCAGAAGACTTAGCCCCCACTGCCAGAGCTCCAGGTAGGTGGCGGCAAGTAGCCAGGGCAAAGTGGCCTGCGGTTGTTCCTGGACCAAGCAGGGTCGTGTGCAGGGAAGGTGTGGCCTGGTGGGATGAGGAAGTCCTTAGGATGAATGATGGGTGTGAACAGGACCAGGCAGGCAGATTTGGTGATGTGGCGAGAGTGACTTAGACGCTGCAGAGACACAGAAGCCAGCCGGAGCCACGGCCCTGGGTTGTGGCTGGAGAGCAAGCGTAGAGTCTGTCCATCTGCAGGGGAGAAAGAGGAGAGGCGGGGCTGGGAAAGGAGGCCTCTGTCCTGAAGAGGAGAGGGCCCGAGAAGTTTCTCCGATTAGGGCGTGATTGGGTGTTCGGGGTTGGCCAAGTGGGCCAGCTAAGGCATGCGAAGCTCATGGCGCTGGGAGACTTAGGAATCTTTGCTGATCTCTCTGGGAGGAAATGTGGGATTGGCGAGGAGGGGGCCAGGCAGAGGGAACTCTTCAGGGAGTTTTAGAAGGGACCAATATTGGAAACCGAAAGGGATTCCAGGAGGAGGGCAGAGGCCATGGGTGTCCTGAGCCATGGAGAGCAGAGAACAGGCCCGTGGAGGCACGTGGCACCTAGGGCTTGGGGTGGTCATGGGTGGGAGTTGGCAAAGGAGTGACTGGGTCCTCCCGCGGAGACCCTGGGTGTGATGCGTAGGGTTGGAGAGTGACTGCAGAAGACTCTCCCAGAAGTGAAGGAGCCAGTAAGCAGGAGCTCTACAGAGAGGGAGAGGAAGGGTGGCCCCTAAAGGTGGGAAAGGGCTGGGTTCAGGCCTGGGCCTGGGCCATCCCGAGGGCAGGGCCTACACCATGCTCACATCTGAGCCTCGGAAAGGCCTGCGTTCCTGTGTTGTGCCTGGAATTCATTTGGGACTCAGTCATTACGATGACATTGGGAGCCCTGTGGCCCGCCGTCCTGCTTGCTGTCCTGCCTTGGTCATAACCCTCTTAAGTGTAGGTGATTGGGCTGAACCGGATGTGGGGGTCTCCAGGCCACAGACACCGAGCCTGTGCCCAGAGCTTCCATGGACTGCAGCCCTGTCCCTACCCCACCTTGGGCACCTGCCCTGTGGTTTCCTCAGTTCCCTCCTCCCAAATTGTCGCCTGCAGGATCCTGCTTTTCCTACTGCCAGCCCTTCCCCTCTCCTCTGTCTCGGGCCAGTCTCAATCCTGCCACCTCCAGGTCACCTCCTTCTGCTCCAACCCCCCACTCCCTACCCCAGCCATAAGCCACCCCCATCTGTGCCGAGTTGACAGGTTCCCCCTCTGGAAACTTCCATGTTCTGTGCCTGCGTCTGGTGCATCTCCCAGTGCGTGTGTGAGGCCACCACCGTGCCCAAGCCCTCTCTCCCTTCCGGGGGCCGCCGCATCCGTAAGGGGACAGGCCAGCTCAACCGCCGTGCGCCTAACCCTTATTCTTGTGTTCACAGCCTGCTCCAGCTGGTGATCTCGGGCCCGGTGCAGCAGGCACCCCACGCAGCGCTGCCCCCCGGCTTCTACCCTCACATCCACACGCCCCCGCTGGGCTACGGGGCCGTGCCGGCCCACCCCGCCGCCCACCCTGCTCTGCCCGCACACCCAGGGCACACATTCATGTCGGGCATGACCTTCCCATTCAGGCCCATCCGCTAGGCCGGCCCCAGTGCCACCGAGGGGCGGTGTGCCTTCCGCCTGGGCTGGAGGAAGCCTTCCAGAGAAAGGGGGAGCCACCCCCTCGAAGAGGACCTTTTCGGGTAGCCGGTGGCCCCTCATCCCCAGCAGGACTGTCTTGGTGCGGGCGTTACGCGGCATTGCAGTCCAGGGGGCCTTCTGCTGGGTCACGTTCAAGTCTGGATGGTATGTGTGGAAGGAAGGACAGACCGCGTGTGCCCAGCCGTGTGGGCGTCCTGCTGAGACGCCGATTCTTGGAGCCGGTGTCCATGGGTCGTTTCAGACACGCGGGGAGCCCGTGCTGCCCCGAGCACGGCTGTGATGAGCAGCATTTGCAGGTCCCGCTGGTGTCTCTGCGTGTGAGTGGGACGGGTCCCTGGGAGCTCTGTGAGCTCGAAGCTGGGCCCCGGCATGGGCCGGGCCAGGAACCGGGCAGGGGGCCCCAGCCCAGGAGCTCCTCTGTTTTATTGAGGTCTAAATTTTCCTTTCATATGTTCAAATAAATTTTTTCTAAACAGTTTTATAGACTTTATGGACTATTTTTACACCATAGTTGGTGTGAGCAGCAGTGGTTTCCTTGTGGGTCTGCAGTGATGGGGTAAGAAGTTTGAATATAATTTGAGGCACCTGTTACCAGAAGCACTGCCAACCTTGTCCCTGCCGACCTCGTCCCCACCGCCCTGCCGGTCCCCCAGGGGCCTGTCTGCTTCCCTCTGTGCGATGGAAGTTCTCCGCTTTGAGTTCTCATTTACTAGTTCTGGGAAGGCACAATGCCTATAGCGGTGACATGGGACCCCCTTGGGCTGGAAGTGAGGCAGGAGAGACACTTAACAGCCAACAGTGAGCAATGAAGGGCTGAGATGAACTTAGGGGGGATGAAATTGAGCCTTGTGGTTTGTCTACCCTTCTGTTCCTGGCCAAACACCATGACCCAGGAGATCAGACCAAACCAGCCTGCCCAATAAATTCCTATGTGTGTTTCCCTTTTTTTTTTTTTTTTTTTTTAGGTCTGGGGTTCAGGGCATCCCTCGAGACAGGGAGCACGAGCTGATACAGCTACCATGTAGGGGCCATCCTTGCTTGGAAAGGGTCCCAACCACACCTGCTTTGTCAGCCACGTAAGACTGGCTTCTTTGCACACCTACAGTGCTCAGCCGGGTTCCCAGAGCTGCAGCGGGTGGGAAGGGACCCGCCGGCAAGCCAGCCTCTCAGGAATCTGGTTTTAAGCTGCTTCTGAGAGCCACAAACTAGAAAGGAAATTGCCCTTACTTTGACTTTGATTTCATTATTCTTAGTTGACTGTGTTCCATGTTGGTGTGTTTATCTGCTGAGGTCGGTTCAGGAACTGAAGTAAAAAAATAAAAGTAAATATCGGCTTCCATGTCTTGGTGGGACACACCCATGAGACCGAGGAGATGAGCGCTTGGCTGGTGCGTGCTGTTCAGCTCCGGTGCCGGTGTTTCTGGAAACCATGGAAAAGAAGCCCTCCTGTTGCTGTGCCATTAGGGGAGGTCTGTGAGCATGGCTCTGTCCCAGAAGGAGGCATCCACCAAATTTCCAGGGCCTAGTTAGGGCTTAGTTCATCTTAGAACCAAGATGGTTTTTGCCTTGAATGACTGGGGGAACAGACAAGGGGAGGGGCGGGCTAGGGAGGGGAGAGGAGGAGAAGGAGGAAGGAAAAATGGAGGAAATAGAGCTCCTGGAGCCCTCCACTTTCTCTGGTGGTGTTTCTAGTAGTGCGTAATTAAGTCAACTTTTTAAAAAGATGGGTGTATGTGGACTGTTACACCTTTACCAATTCTTGCCTTTCCACCTATTAACAATAAGAAGTATTTCCTATTTACTAATTAAGTGTCAGGCTCTTCCTAATGAGTATTTTACGCACATAAAAAATTTGTGTAGGGGCGCCTGGGTGGCTCAGCGGGCTAAAGCCTCTGCCTTCAGCTCAGGTCATGATCCCAGGGTCCTGGGATCGAGCTCCGAATCGGGCTCTCTGCTTAGCAGGGAGCCTGCTTCCTCTTCTCTCTCTCTCTCTGCCTGCCTCTCTGCCTACTTGTGATCTCTGTCAAATAAATAAATAAGACCTTTAAAAAAAAAAAAACTTAAAAAAATTTGTATATGAGGAAAATATGTGCAGAGTATAAAATGAAGTATACCCATATAGAATGTATCAAAAATGCAAATTAATCAAAAGACATCCCAATAGGAGCGCCTGGGTGGCTCAGTCATTAAGCGTCTGCCTTTGGCTTGGGTCATGATCCCAGGGTCCTGGATTCAACCCCCCCGCATTGGGTTCCCAGCTCAGCAGGAGGCCTGCTTCTCCCTCTCCCACTCCCCCTGCTTGTGTTCCCGCTCTCGCTGTGTCTCTAATAAATAAAATCTTAAAAAAAAAAAAAAAGACATCCCAATAAAAAAATGAGTGAAGGACGTGAACAGATACTTCATAGAAAACCCAAATTACCAATTAAAAAAAAAAAAAGATTCTAAAACTGGTAACCAGGGAAATACAAATTAAAAAGAGATACAAATTTTAAAAAGATGCCATGTTTTCCATTTATCCATTAGACTGGCAAAACAGAAAGTAACTAATGGCCTGAAGAAACAATGATCACACTGTTTATGTAGATAACTGGTTTAGCCACTCTGGAGAAATGAAGAAATAAAATGGCCCTATGGCCCAGCAAGGCCAGATCCCAAAAAGAGTGTTCACGGATGTTGATGGCAGTATTGTTTTTTAAGTAACAGTTCTATGAAGAGAGAACTCACTTACCCAATTCACTCATTTCAAGAGCACGCTTTGGTGGTTGCAGAATATTTACAAAGTGGTGCAAACCAACATCACCACTCTCTGTTCTAGAACATTTCATCATCCCCCAAAAGAAATCCTGTGCCCGCTAGCACCCTCCCCCTCGACGCAGCCCCCGCCAACCCGTCTACTTTCCGTCTCTCTGGACTTGCCTGTTCTGAATGTCTCGTGTAAATGGAATCCTACAGACGTGGTCTTCTGTGACTCGCTTCTTTAGCTTAGCATCATGTGTCTGGGGGTCATCCTTGTAGCGCGAATCACCACTTCATTACCTTTTATGGCCACTAATACCCCATTGTGTGGATGTATCCCATTTTGTTTGTCCGTTCGATGGTTGATGGACACTTGGATGCTTTGGCTCATATGACTGTTTCTGCTATGAACGTTTGTGTACAAGGTTTTGTGTGGGCGTAGGTTGTCAGTGTGCTCAGACAGACACACACACACACACCTCTATGGAAATGCTGGGTGCGGGATGTGTGTGTGTGTGTGTGTGTGTGTGTGTGTGTATTTTTTTTTTTTTAATAAGGAAAATCCAGAAACTGCTTGAATAGCCTCAGGAGAGAACCAACCAGCTGGGAGTTGTAAATTCAGACTTCTGTAGCGACCAGGCAGGTGTTAACCATGGGCGAAGCTTCCAGAATTAGACACCAGGGGGTACCAAGTACTGTGCCAAATTGGGGAAATCCTAGGGGTGCCATATCTGGACACCCAGGCCAAGGTGAATGTTGTCCGAACTTCTGAGTATTCAGGAGAAGATGGAAATCAATTTTTTACGGTATATTTTCCTAATTTGAAAACCTCTCTTGGAAAGTAATCTATGACGTTAGAAGTCAGGATACCCGTTGTATGTCCTGGAAATGGGGTAGTGCTCAAAGGAGACCTTATCCTGTCTGTATTGTTTTAAAGTTTCAATTTTGTTTTAAGTTTTTTAATTAAAAGAACCATTCTGACTCATAATGAAAGATGACAAGACTTGAATTAGTCCCTGATGGCTAGAAGAGAAATTCATCTTTGGCAGATCTACTGGCCGGTATTGCACACATTTTACTTTTTTTACAAGGACAATGTATTCTTGTTACTTGTCTAATTAAAAGCTAATTTTTAAAAACACGCATGGTAGAACATCTATCTCTGGTCATGATGGGCCAGATCTGTCAGACCCGCCTTTCTGCTTTAACTAAAAATGCTGGAAAAAATACAGAAATATCTTTTTTAAAAATATTTCATTTATTTAATTGACAGACAGAGATCACAAGTAGGCAGAGAGGCAAGCGTGGGGGCGGGGAGCAGGCTCCCCGCTGAGCAGAGAGCTCTATGCGGGGCTCAATCCCAGGACCCTGAGATCATGACCTGAGCCGAAGGCAGAGGCTTTAACCCACTGAGCCACCCAGGCGCCCCCCATTTTGGATCTATTGAGTTAAAATATACTACCAGAATTAATTTTACCTGTAACTGTATACTGTTTACTGTTCTAAATGTAGCTACCGAGATTTTGTTAAATTCTGCTTAAGGCTTGGATCGTATTTCCGTTAGCCCTGGTAGAGACTGCACCCGAAAACCAACCTATAAATATTTGTTGAATGAGTAGGATGTTTAAATGTTTGCAACAGGCAGTATTAACTTTGTAATCAGATGAACCAAAGCTTGGAAATGTTTGACACAGTTGCGAATAGTTGCCTAGTGATCTCAATCATGCCTCAGTGCCTGGGATTTTGCATTAATGGCAGAGGGCTGGGAATTATTTCCATGGACGGGTCAAGAGCATGGGCTTTGAAATTCCACAGACCCGGATCTGACCCCAGCTCTGTTCCTTTGTGACCTTGGGCAAGTTCATTCAACCCTCCGAGCCCTGCTTTCTTCAGGCACAAAATGGGGTTAGACACGTTTTTGTCCATACGTGTAGCTTGACTAAGGTGTCTGAAAGGAGAACGTTCTGTCTCTCTGCTCCTCAGTCTTGTACTACCATGAAGGTTCAAACACTTCCCGTCTACCTGCGTGGAGTGGAGGTTCCTAACCATCTACCAGGTCCTTTCTCTCGTTCTACCATAATGAGAGGGTAGCTGAACCTATCGCTAGATGCCTTTCCCTAACTGCCCTTGTACCTCATCTCCCAACCTTGGGCAGTATGAATTGGACAGCGGCACCACTCAGAATTTCCTTAGGAATTTAGTTACGTTGGCCAAGAAAAGGCACCTCTCCTAACTTCCCCCTGGGGAGCACAGCTGACTCACAGCCCCAGCGGCTTCCTCTGCCAAGGATACCAGCGTGGGTCCATGCTTGCAGGACAGAGAATGCCTCTAATTTGAATCTTGGGCTCCCTGTGGCACCCCATGGTCTGGGAATCTGTTCTTTTAACAAGTGCCCCAGGTAATGCCCATAACCAAGTCATTTTAAGAAAGACTTGGTTCAGGGACGCCTGGGTGGCTCAGTTGGTTGGACAACTGCCTTTGGCTCAGGTCATGATCCCGGAGTCCCGGGATCGAGTCCCGCATCGGGCTCCCAGCTCCATGGGGAGTCTGCTTCTCCCTCTGACCTTCTCGCTCATGCTCTCTCTCACTGTCTCTCTCTCAAATAAATAAATAAAATCTTTAAAAAAAAAAAAAAAAGAGAAAGACTTGGTTCAGGGGCGCCTGGGTGTCTCAGTGGGTTAAAGCCTCTGCCTTTGGCTCAGGTCATGATCCCAGGGTCCTGAGATCGAGCCCCGCGTCGGG